GTGCAGTGGGGCGATGTCCCCAGCGCGGATTCCCCCCCACCCCAGCCAGTTCCTCTGCGGCTTCCCTCCCTACCACCCCACGGATGCTTAGAAAAGTTTGCAGAGGCCAGAGTTAGAGAGGGCCCACTAGTCTTGAGTGGTTGTTCTTTCTATAAATGCAAAAATAACGGACCATGATGCTTGGCACCTAACCGGCCAGAAATGAGACATTGCCCTTCTTGTGTGCCCCGTTGTTAAAAAGCAAGCGAAAACTTTTTACATAGTTCCCACGGAAAAATTACCATCTTCCCAGCCCACCATGGCGGACGAAATTGATTTCACTACTGGTGATGCCGGGGCTTCCAGCACTTACCCTATGCAGTGTTCGGCCCTGCGCAAAAACGGCTTCGTGGTGCTCAAAGGACGGCCATGCAAAATAGTGGAGATGTCAACTTCCAAAACTGGAAAGCATGGTCATGCCAAAGTAAGTGTCCTTCCGAGTCATTCTTTGTATTCATCATTGAGATTTTGATCATTTATATTAATTACAGATCATGAGAGGTCTATAAATTTTGTAATAACATTTTCCCTTCAATTACTGAGTGGTTTTGTACCTTTATGTTTCATTAACTAGGCAGTGAAACTTTGTTGATTCTTGGTGACCTAAAAGATCTATTAAGTAACAGTTGAGAAAACAACTTACCTTATTTTTTCTTACAATTCCTGCATTATGTATTGTAATAAGTCTTGACATAATACTGTTTAGTGTTTACTCCTTCTCAGTTCTATCACCACTACATTTTATTAAAAAAAAAAGTAAAAGTAGATGCCCTTGGAAAAAGAATCTGTCTTAATCAGCATTGGTATTGTGCCCTTGTGTGTGTAATGAATGATATACTTGTCAAAGATTAAACAGGTTTCCTGTTTTCCTCTTTTAGGTACACCTTGTTGGAATTGATATTTTTACGGGGAAAAAATACGAAGATATTTGCCCTTCTACTCATAACATGGATGTTCCAAATATTAAAAGAAATGATTATCAAGTAAGTACAAACTTTCTTTAGAATGTTGCTTGTTTCTTAAAGATACAAATACTTTCTACTAGCAGTAGTAATTTATCAAAGCCAAAGAGTATTTGGTAGGTTTTTCTAACCAGTTACCATAGTAGGCACCACCTATCTTACAGATTGGAGAAATACAGTATTTTTTTTACCAATGATTAATGAAATTACATTTCTTGATATTGTAAAATATTTCAAATTTATATAACTTCCTTCTTGATGTTTTTATTTCTTTTTACTAATCTAACCTAAGGCTTTCAAAAAATTATTGCAATTCATATTTTAACCAACCAAGTTTTTGTATTAATGAAAATGAGTCAGAATTTGATAGTTTTAAGTAGGAAAATAAATTGAAAGCCATAAATATAGAGAATAAGCCAGATGTGGTTCTCATGCCTTTGATCTCAGCTGTTCAGGAGACTGAGGCAGAAGCATCACAAATTCAGGACCAGCATGGGCAATTTAGCAAGACTATTTCTCAATAAAACATTTTAAAGGGCTAGAGATGTAGTTCTGAGGTAGAACACTTACATAGAACACACAAGTTTGAGTCATGGTACCACAAAAAAGAAAATAAAAACATAATATCTAATACACAGTCATTGAATATGATAAAGAAAATACAAAAACTATGTAATTGTTTTATTTATATTCAGTGATCATGCTGGGGATTTAGCTCAGTGGTTCCACCACCTACCTCACAAGTGCAAGGTCCCGAGTTCGATCCCTCATATACACACACACACACACACACACACACAAACTGTATGTATAAAGTTAAAGTTTTAGATTCAGTTATACTTGCAGATTGGTCATATTGAATAACTTTTTGTTTGAGATATTGATGACAATTTAAATGGTTGACTTCATAGGATGTGAAACCTCACATTCATCATAACCAAAGCAGTTCTTGAAAATCTTTAATGTCAGTATCACACATACCATATACTGAACTCTTCTGTTCATTTTGTATTCACTTTTTTTTTTTTAATTCATTGAACTCAGGACCTTGATGCTTGCAAGGCAGGTGGCGGAACTACTGAGCCCCAGACCTCTTCTGTTCATTTTATGTAATGAAAAATGTGTTAGATTTTTCTATTCAAATTAAACAGATTTCTTTCCATACCTCTTATTGCATTATGTAAAATTTTAAAGAATATTAGCAACTGGATTTACCCAAGGACTTCCTTTTATTCTGCCTATATGCAAATATTTTCATGTAATGTTAATCTAGTAAACATTTCTGTAATTTTACTTTCCTATTTAATAATGTTTTTCAGATTGCTTTGGAGTTTTTGTAAAAACTTAAATTGGCTTAGTGTAACCTCAAGTGGATTTAAGTCAAGTAGGTCTAGTTCTGCCACTTAATTAGTTCAGTATGAAACTTTTTAAGCCTTTGTCTTCCAATCTATAAAACAAGAACAATGTGAAGAATAACTGAGAAAAATGTACCCATAAGTACTTATGTATCAAACAGTAGTACTGTTCTGCTTTCCTATCCTATATTTAAGTTCCACATAATTATTATTGGATCACTGAATTTAGATGTGTTATATAGTAATTGTTCAGTAAACACTTGTTAATTGAATGCATGTTTATTCATTATGGCAATGTGATAAAGATAGTGCACCAGACTGAGCATAGAATTTTCTTTTTCCAAAATGGGTTTTTCTTCTCAACCTAAAGTGGGAATACTTTGAATATTCAGTATTTATTATGGCCAATAATGTTCATGCAGTATGGAATGCTTTTCCCTGTTGCATGTTTCAGAAAGATAGTATCAGTAGTTCATGTAATTATTACTATGATAGCTGGGGATTTTGCTCAGTGGTTCTTGTGCCTGCCTTGCTAGCACAAGGAACTGAGTTTGATCCCTGGTACCAAAAAAATATATATATATACATATACACACACACACACACACACACATATATATGTATATATGTATGTATATATGTATATGTATATATATGTATATATGTATGTATATATATGTATATGTATATATATACATATACATATATATATATATATATATATGTTTGTATGTATGTATATATGAGATAAAATTAGCCAGTTGTCGTTTGGAGTTCAAAGTTAACATAAAGGAAAAATCTGATTATTTTTGTGTACAGAGGTCCAGGCTGGGGTTTAACAAATGGAGTGAATGAGGCCTTTGCCTTGTGTGCAAAAATTTAAACAAAGACAGGTGTAGAAACAGTGCTAAGGCTCATAGTAATAACCTGTATGCAAAAGGAAACATTTGTAATTCCAATCCTCTTTTCATTTACATTTTGATAGTTTATGTAATTTTTACATTCTTATTTTTTAAATACACTAAAATATTTAATCACAACTTCCTTTCTTTTTTGATGCCTTTTTAATTTTACACCCAAGACAGTTGTCTCACTTTTTACCCTACTCTCAGCCCTTATGTGGTCCAGATAGCACAGCGGATTAAAGGATAATTTTTTTAAGCCAGACTGTTTGGGTCCAGATCCTTATTATAGCACTTAGCAGTGGCCGTGGTTGGCAAGTTATTTAACCTTTGTTGCCTCCACTTATTAATAAAATAAGAATGCAAATAATAAGCTCTAATAGGATCATTTTGAGTCTTAATACTTACAACAATGCCTGGAGTAATAAGTGTCCACATCTTCCTTGTTATCAAGTCAACATATGATACTCATTTCTGTTCATTTTCACAAAATAGTTCTGTGAACCTTTCCCATTATATTTGTTGTGTTAGTCTTCACTCATCTACCTGAAAGCCTTGATTTTAAATTCCTACTTTTATTATTTGGCTATGTGTAGTTCTTTGTATTTGCTGAATTCAGTATTTGGAGTGCCAGCTTGGCAGCCAGCTAAAGTAAAACGTATAGTATATTTGTTCATTGTAATAATTAAAAAGCAGATATCTCAAAAAGCATATTAATATTTAGTTTTAATTTTATGTATCTTTAACATAAGTTTAGATGAAAAAAAATTTTGTCTTCTGAGTCTTCCTTTCCAAGATTAGCTTGAATTAGAATTACTAATCCATTACTTCTTCTAAAAGTAAGTTACTGTTGTTTAGGGCTCAGAGATGGTATAAAATTCAAATACATTCACACACCTTTGGGAATCCCCAAATTGATAAATATAGAAATGCCTGTTTAGACTCCTGTACTCTCTTGAATCATATTTTTTTTACAAAGCTCCTTGTTATTATGCTCCCCACCCACAAGCTAAATGCCTTTTTTGCAATCTTCAAGTTTTATCTGTCATCTGAAGACCATTTTCTAAGGAGGAAAACAATTTAGTACAGGACTCATCAAGTACGTATTATGAATCTTTAGATTATTGGTAAATTGCCAAAATTATGACTATTAATTACATGTGTATTGTTCAAATGAGTGTTAAGTCATTTGGGTGTCAAGATATATGAGTTGAATTTTATTGTTGCAATTGAAAATAATGACAAAGACAATATTGCTGCTATGAATTTTCCTGAATATAAATTCTTTTTATGATTTTAACATCCTCTGTGAAATTCTTTTGCTCCCTTGTGAAAGCAGTTTCTTTGAAATAGAAAACCTCTAAACCAGTGGAGCCCAGTATTTTAGGGATAAGAAGCAAACATTCTGCCACCACCTATGTTTCCTACACTTATGAGAAAAATAGTACCATATATTGAAATATATTGTAATCTATAAAATAAGTTCCTTGGACCACATAGTATCTTTTAGCAGGTGCCATAAAACAATTTTCAGTAGGCCAATCCACATGGGCAAGTGGTTTGGAATTTCTGGGTATATGGGCCAATTCTCTGTCACCCATGTTCTCATTATTTTGTCTGCAAAGCAAATGTTTCAGAAGTGTTGCCATGTGAGAATGAGACATGTTATAAATCCAGGATTTTAGCAGAAGCACCACAGACAGGACAGGCAAATCTGTATGTAGACTAGTAGTCCATCGCAGTCAGTCCAAATCAGTCTTTTCTGTATTAGATAGGGTACAGTGTTGTCAGGGAGCTAGCTGTTTCCTTTGGGAAATGGTACCTTATCAGGCACCCTGTATTTATCTCTCTTCTGTGAGGTTCTCAGTAGTGGCTATAATCAGATCATCCTTAATGAGAGAAAACTTGAATCACTGAGCCATTGACGAGAACTGGGACGGCAACAAAAACTAGGTGAATGCGCAGGACATGGTGGCACATGGCTTTTAGTCCCAGTCCTCTGGAGGTTGAGGCAGGAGGATCACCATGAGTTTGAGGCCAACCTAGGGGTACATAATGAGTTCAGGGCCAACCTGGAATACAGATCATCCTTAATGAGAGAAAACTTGAATCACTGAGCCATTGACGAGAACTGGGACGGCAACAAAAACTAGGTGAATGCGCAGGACATGGTGGCACATGGCTTTTAGTCCCAGTCCTCTGGAGGTTGAGGCAGGAGGATCACCATGAGTTTGAGGCCAACCTAGGGGTACATAATGAGTTCAGGGCCAACCTGGAATATGTAGTGAGACCTTGTCTCAAAAAGCCAAAAAAAAAAAAAAAACAACTCCCAACAACAAAAAGGCAAGCTGAATGTCAAAGAGAATCATAATTTCCACCTGATTATTTAAAGCCCTTTGGAGCAGATGCCCTTTGGAGAGCATTCATGTGGGCACATTCTCCCATATGTCGAGAGGTCTATCCATATACCACTTTTCTAGACTTCACTGTTACCCTTTTTCATATCTTGTTCTTACAGGGTCTGTGTTAGCTTTGCATAGCTGTGACAAAATATCTGAGGAACACAACTCACAGGAGGAGAAGTTTATTTTGATTCATAGTTACAGAGGGTTTAGTCAATGGCTGGCTCCTTTGCTTTAGACCTGTGGTAAAACAGAACATGATGGTGGAAGAGTGTGGTAGAGTAGAACTGCTCACCTCTTGGCCATTGGGAAGCAGAGAGAGAGAGTGGGAGAGCCTGTGCTGGCAGCTTCCTCCTTCACTT